AAAGGATGAATATAACATCCAAACTCTTAAAGGCCACTCATTTTTTTTGTCTCAATGGCCTGTGCCACATTGAGCCATATGTATTTATCCAACTATGAATATATTTATATATACCTAATATTCTTTTAAACAACCCGACAAAAAGTTGGGACACCCTGCAGTTGCACACCCTTGCATTGCAGCGCGTTTGCGCACATCCATGATTCATTGTTTCGTTCTATCACTGGTGTTTGGGAGGCACTGTCAGACCTTTTCCACCTCAAACGCTCAGCTGGTGCGGTCCAAAACTGAATTATTCAGTTGATGAATCAGTCGATGTCTCTTTCATCGACTTCATCAACTTCCATTGCCTCTTCCTCAGCTTGCTCGCCGTCATCGGCATCATCCGTGACAGGTGGCACCGCATCTGTACCAGCACTGGCGGAAGCACTCACTTCTGGAACTGACACGGTGTTCTTCTCTGCTGCTGCAACCCGGTCACTCGTCAGGGATTCCTCAGAACGATCTTCAACGGTTTCTACAACCAGCCATGAGAAAAAACGAGGCCCTGACACACAACGCAACAAGGTCGGCCTTCTGAACACCCTTTTCTGCTTCAAGCCGAATGATTTCCTCAGGAAAAGAAACTGAAACTTTGTTCAAACAACTTGAGGTTGGAATGTGTTGTAACCAAGAACTTAGCGACCAGGAAGCTGCAATTTCAGCAACATCATCCATCGTCAGGCCTGGGGCCCATTTGACCTTGAGTTAATGGCTGGAACCTTGAGTCCAAGTTTGAGTCCAAAAAAACTTGAACAATTGAAAATTGAAAAGAAAAATGAGGGTGGCACTGTCAAGAGTTCGCTGTTCTTGTACTTGATGCCATACTTTTTCAGGGCGTGGTACTGGTATTTGTAGGCCTTCTCTGTTTTGGCACTCGGTTTCTTGCTGGGCTTGGCTTGGGGCTCTCCTGCTTCAGCGGTTGAGGAAACAGAAGCAGATGGTCTCTTCAAGACCTTCTTTGTGACACCTTTTGCTTTTGCTTTGACTTTTGGTATTTTGGGCGCGGCTTTGGCTGTGGGCTGCTGACTAGCCTGACTGAGCTGGCTTGGAAAGCTCTCGCCTTTTGCATCAGCAATCGGCAGGGGTTCTTGGTCTTCGGAGTCCTTGCCAGCGGCTTTGGCCTTGGGCGTTGTCTTTTTTTTTTGGCAAACTTTTTCCCTTTGCCTTTGGTTTCGGCGCAGGTTCATTCGGGGCGGCGTCTGACATGTCAGACTCATTCAAGTCTGCTAGGGGCGGCATTGCAATGCCACTACCGGCCCTCTAACTATTAGCGGGCGTTCTGCTTTTGGGCCTGGCTGGGAGTCGATGTAGAATGTGTTGCAGTGAAACTGCTGCCAACAATTGGTGGGCCTATCACATTTATTGCACAAGAAAAAATCTATTGACTTGTCAATGAACACTGCAGCATTGAGAATCACAAGCTCAGCTGTTTTAAACCCGTCTCAAACTCTGACATCATTGCCAAAATTGTTCGAAGAAAATGCTCCGGCATCACTTGAGGAGCGTAGCAGTTAAGGGCGGAAGCGAAAGCGATCCGGTCAGGAGCATCTTTGGCTTCACGGGCTTCACCAAAGCCGGAGATGGTTCCAGTCGCACCTGCAAGCGGACCACACAATGATAAATGAACATAAAAAACCATGCAACTAGGGAAAGCCTTTCTGCACATCCCTTCACACACAGAACAGCTTGGGAGGCCTCCCATGTCAACTCTGCCATGTCAGTTGGCAGGG